TTTTATAAATTTATAAATGGCGTCAATACAAAAAAGTTTTTTCAAACTCAAGTTTAAATGTGATGTTTGGGTTTTCCTTTTGCTGTTAAATTTGGTGTGAAAGAATTTTTTTTATAAAATGAACCAAACTTTGAACCGATTAAAAATAATGCGATCAATAAATAAACTCTTTAAAAGCCTTATATTTATTTTATTTAAAAAAAAAATTACTTTCGCTATAAATATAAGATTTATAAAATTTCAAAATTATTCTTATTTTTGTTAAAAACAAGTTCTAGTAATAACATCTTAAAACCGAAAAACTATTTTTCTTTTTGGATTCAGTAAGAAATAGTAAAAATACATTAGGTTTCACTGTACATAAAAATAAAATATATTGATGGAAAAAAAGCCGAAAAGCGGTAATCTTGGTTGAATTACAATTTTTATTTTATCGAAAATCAACCATAAACAATTGTCCCCTCATTTAAAAAAAATAACCATAAAAATAGTTTTTTAAAGAAAAAAAATAAATACTTATTAAAAAAGTTTAATAAGTATAAGATTTTAAAAAAAGGAAATTTTTTTAATCAACATCAGGGTTAAGGTTAAATTTAATTTATAACTTTTTTAACGACAATATTGTTTAACTTAAAGCTATAATTTTAGATTTAAATTTTTAAACATTTTAAAGAATTTTAAATTTTTTAAACATTTAAAAGACTTACAATAATTTCTGATGTGTTTTTAAATTTTATTACAATGAGGTATTTTAAAATACGTAACTGGCGCAATTAAACTTTTAACGATGTAAATATCTTTATTTAATAAAGTTACATATATTTATGTTGTGCTTTTCCGTTACGCAACAAAATCTGATAACAAAGCCTCTATATATATATATATATATATATATATATATATATATATATATATATATATATATATATATATATATATATATATATATATATATATATATACACACACTTATTAAAGCGTATTTTTATAAGCATTTGCTCACTTTTTTTGCTTACGTTAATTATTACGGCTTTTTTAGAAAAAGAAGAAAAAAAACGAATAATGATGAATGAAACGATTGCTGCCCAATCCCAAACCCTCAGTCGATGTAGCAGCACTCCACTGCGAGTCAGGCTATTTGTCAGTCAATGTATGTATTGAAGCCCCCAGCAGCAGGCTATTTCAGTATAAGGTTTTTTTTAAAAAAAAGAGAGGGCATTTGTTAAAGGGTGAATTTCCTAGCAGTCAAAAAAAAAAAAAAAAAAAATGATTTTTTTTTAATTTTTTGGCTTTAACAAAATCTACAAATTATGGTTTATCGGACAATGCATTTATATACATTAAGCATTAAGCACTTTTGCAAGGGGATGAAAAAAAAATATTGATTTGAAACTATAAATAATAAATAATAATAAATTAATAAAAAATAAATTATTAAAAAAAACTAAAAGTGATTATTTCCTAAGTTTTTTTTTATTGAAATAAATTTTTAAAAGGAAACAATCACTTTTACTAAAAGTGATTATTTCCTAAGTTTTTTTTTATTGAAATAAATCAAATAATCACAATATAATTTTATTATAAAGTAATAAAATTTAGAGAAATTTAAAACTAAAATATTGAAACTAAAACAAGTGTTCATTTGTATTAAAAAAAATGTGGCTAAAATAAACTAACCACAAAAACAAAATTAACAAACATTAATAAAAAAATACTTAAAAAACATAAAAAAAAAAATTAATTTTTTGTTGACAATCCTTTTGCTTTTAAGCATTCATGGTGTTCACTAAATTCTGAGTAATCTCTTTTGGATCACTATTCAGTAATTTTGTTACTAATTCTTTCAGCTGGTCCAGATCGTTTAATTCAATTGTACCAAAATTGTGTTTAACTCAATTGTACCAAAATCCAGACCACAAATTCTCTATCTAATTGAGATCTGAACTATTTGCAGGCCAAGACATGGTTTTAATGTTGTTTTTTTTCAAACAACTGCTTGCAAATCTTAGCAGCATGTAGCACTATGATTTGGGAAGATTCCCATGTCTTTTGGAAAATGTCAATAGAAGGCATAAAATAATTATCCAGTATGTCTAAATTTCTTAGAGAATCAAGCCTTCCATCAAATATTTCGAAACGACCAAAACCTTCATAGTTCATGCCCAGGCCCAAATGCTTATACTACCACTAACATGTTTTGTTCTATTCATAGAACAAATAAGGTCTATTTTGTAATGTGGCTTTTTTCCCAGCATTAATTGGTTTTTTCTTAAATGGACTTCAATGTTTATTTCATCTCTGAAAAAATCGTTGTGCAATATGCTCATAGACCAAGTTTTATGAGCTAAACACCAGTTTTTTCTTGTTTTCTGATGTTTTATCAATAGACGTAGTTTTTCGCAAGCAGCTCGCCACATGTAATTGTGTTTATATAGTACTCTTCTAATTGTTTAATCACTAGCAACTACACCAGCTTTTTGTCCTTTTCAGCTGAGATCAGTTGATGATAAATGTCTATTTTTTTTCCGCTATGCCAATAAGTGAATGTTCATTTTTTTTATTTGAAATGCGAGTCTTCTAGGACATAGAAGATTTTGAATTGTATTGTATCTTTAATATAGGCTGATTATTCTGCTAATAGTGGCATGTGTTGTGTTAAAATGTTTTGCAATTTCTCTCATTATGGTGTTTTGTTCTTTCTTACACTATGATTTTACATTTTGTTATATTATCAATAATTTTTTCAGTCAATTTGATTATTTTATTGCTGAAATATTTAGTTAATTAGATACTGATTTTTCTATTTCATTTTATGCAAATTTTTCAAATATTTATAACAATTTAAATAAAAATTCTCAAATAGTTATAAATACTTTGCAAATTAAGCGGTAGTGGTGTAGTGGTAAGAGCGCTCGCTTTGTAAGCGAGAGGTTCGGATTTCGACTCCCACCACGTCCTTGGAAGTACCACGCTCAACTTAATTTCTCCGCACAGCAGCTTTGCTTGTCAAGGTTGGTATTTCAGAGTTAAAGAGTTGAGAGAGGGTTGTACCACGATTTACAACAAACAAAAAAACAAAAAAAAATGAGTAGCCTCCTTGACTGTAGTAGCCCCCTCGGGCCTTAGTGAGGTGAAAAATAAAAAAAAAAAAAAAAAAAGTTTCAATCAAAGACAAACAAAATTTTGAAGGTTTGAAATAATACTGTGGATTGTTAATTTTGCCCATAATAATTATTTTAGAATAGGAGATATATGTAAAAAAAAAACTTTGAACAATATTTTTATGAATATTTATATTTATTTGAAAGAAAATAGAATGAGCACATAGTCAATATACATTTTTTATATTTATAAAGAGTCATTGATTTAATATCAATCAAAGTCCAATGGCATCAGTATATATATATGAAAAATAACATCTATTAAATTATTTAAAATAAATTCTATAAGTTTTTAAATTAAATTTAAATTTAAGTTTAATTTAAATAAAAATTTAAATTAGTTAAATTTTTAAAATATATTAAAATCTTTTAACATTTGATAACATTTTAATCAAGTCTATATTAATGAATGGCAACCCTCTTACTGACTCCAAACATTCACAAGGATATCCTCTTTTGGATGTTTTAATATTAATTCTTTTAAACTGATAGAGCTGTCGCAGTTCAGCTTGATGACCTTCATAACATTTTCTTAAAGCAGTTCTTCCTGTTTCACAATGCCTTGGTAAACTTTTGTGTCATTAAATTTGATTTGTTGACCATAGACATTTTGAATTTTTCCCTTTAAAAAGTTGAATTTTTCCCTATAAAAGTTGTCCTTGATGGACTGCACTCTCCTTCATATCCTGTAACTTCAGGGGTTTCTCAAGGTTTGATCCTTGGCCCTATACTTTTTTAAGTTTACATTAACGATCTCCCAGAAATTCTCACTTCCAAGGTGGCATTGTTCGCTGATGATACTACCATTTATTCTTGTCTTGATAAGAAGCTAACACTCTCTGATTGCTTGGAGGGGGCATTTAAGCTTGAAAAGGATCTCACTTCTGCTACTGCATGGGGCTTCCAGTGACTGGTGAACTTTAACTCAAATAAAATCCAATTTTTTTCAACTAATCATTCTTGTAATAATTAAGATCTTCCCATATTTACGAACAGTGATATACTCTATGAGTCATCTACCCTTTATCTTCTTAGATTAATTCTTACTTCTGATCTTTCTTCAAATTTTCAAACTTTTTAAGTAGTAAAAAATTATAGAATCTATTATTTTATTTTTATTGAAAAGTTTCATTCTTTTGATAAATACTGTAAAAATGCAAAGTTTTTGAGATAATGCCACTTAAAACATTTCTCACATCTTAAGTTGTCCATAATGATTATTGCTAGTCTGGTAGTACCATATTAATTTTGTCTTGATTATTTTTTTTAAATCAATCAATCCATAGCTGTGTTTATGCTTAGGAAAAAAGTTATATGCCAACAATATTGAAAAAGACTGTTTTTAAAATAAAAATTTTTCTGATCTAGATTTTATTTTGAATTTATTTACAATTCTTTAATACTGCATACCTTTTTGTCATAGTGAAAATAGAAACATAGTTTCATTTTATTTCAATGCATAACTTTAGGCTAGTTAGTTTCTTTTTTTCTGTTTAGTAAAATGTTTACTCTTTATACAAACTTTGTGTTCAAAAAGCTTTATTTCAATTGAGTCCATAATGTGTTAGTAAAATGTCCTTGTTTGAAACCAGTATAAATATATACAAATCTTGCAAACAGAGCCCTGCTCTTTCTTTAGAAAATTATCATTAAATCAGTCAAAAAATAATTTTGCATGCATATCAATATATTGCAAAAATATCAAATGCAACATTGCATTTGATATTTTTGCAATATATTGATAAATCCTTTAGGAATTTTGAATAATTATTAAATATTTCATTTAAACACAAGTAAATGCAATAAAACTTAGATAAAACATTAATTTTTTTCTGTTAGGATGAAATTCTAAAGGCAGCTGTGATGAAATATGGTAAAAACCAATGGAGTCGAATTGCTTCTCTACTTCATAAGAAATCTGGTAAACAATGCAAAGCTCGTTGGTATGAATGGTTGGACCCGAGTATTAAAAAGGTATGTCCAGTTGTCATTTATACAAAAAGTAAACAGTTATGTTTATACTTTTACAAATTTACAAATTTAACTTTAATTTAACTTAATAGACTGAATGGAGCAGAGAAGAAGATGAGAAGTTGTTACATCTTGCAAAGCTTATGCCAACACAGTGGCGAACCATTGCTCCATTAGTTGGACGAACTGCTGCACAGTGTCTTGAAAGATATGAATATCTTCTGTGAGTTTATTTGGGATGCAATGGTACATTTTCAATATTTGGACTTTTAAACTGTTTTTTTTAACAAAAAAAATTCAAATAGTACCAAAAATGAACATGGTTTACAAAATTAAATTAAAAAAAGTAAATGATATTTACTAGTAATTTATTTTTTTGATACTTTTTGACTTATCTGTTAAAAACTGCAACACTTTATTAGCCCGAATATATTGAAATTTTTTGTTACATTATTACTAAATGATATTTACATTTTATGTGAATAAAGTTTAAAGTACTAAATCAATGTTCTCAAGAGACTTGATATAATTTATTCTTTAAAAAAAAAAACAGTTTGTATGTTCAGGTATCAAAAATGTATCCCTAGAGTTTATTATTCAGTTAATTAATTGAAAGTTGATCAGTTTTCTACTTTTAGATTTCTGCGGTATTGAGTTAAACTCTGTGAAATAAATAAATGTGTTTTGTAATATGAATTCTCAAAATTAGATAGATCAAAAAAATAATAATAATAATGAAAGTTAAATTAAAATTTTTTTTAAATTGTTTTTTATTTTGTTATTAATTTGTTATAAAAGCAAATAAATATAAAGAAGATATTTTTAGTTTTTTTGTAAAAATATATTCTATAGTATTTATGAATAAGTCATATATTTTAGTGACCAAGCACAACGTAAAGATGGGGAAGGTTTAGATGAAGATCCTCGAAAATTAAGGCCAGGTGAAATTGATCCTGCACCTGAAACCAAACCTGCTCGACCTGATCCAATAGATATGGATGAGGATGGTAAAATTGTTATAGCTTAAATATATATATATATATATATATATATATATATATATATATATATATATATATATATATATATATATATATATATATATATATGTATATGTATATATATGTATATATATATGTATATATATATGTATATATATATGTATATATATATATATATATATATATATATATATATATATATATATATATATATATATATATATATATATATATATATATATATATATATATATATATATATATATATATATATATATATATATATATATATATATATATGTATATATATATATTCAATAATTTATTTTATTAGTTGTATTATATATATTGAATCTATTAAAAAAAAGAAATTTCTCTGTTCCAGAGAAATTTCTTTTCCTTAATAGATTTTAAAGTCTGAAGAAGCTGGTCTGTAGACAGACCAGCAAAACAAAAAAAGCGCAACAAAATAAATATTTTTGAAGTATTATGAAGGAATTGGTGAAACAAGAGTTTTTGCTTTTGACATGTCAAAAAAATGTGGTTACTGCTCAATTGAGTCTTCATCTCTTGTTCCATCAACCAAAACTCAAAATCACGTTACTTTTCAGTTGTAGGTTAAATTATTATTATTATACCCAGTCTTCTCAAGTAAGCCTGGGTATAATAATAGTTTGCATTGCCTTCCACTTTTTTTTGTACAGGTTTGATTTCATAGCTCCCTTATTAAAGGTTTTTTTTTACAGCAGATAAAAGTTCTACATTTAATCTTATTTGTTAAGACCATAAAAAATAATTTTTACTTTTTACTTTGTCAAGGGAGTGATCTTGTTAAGTTATATTAATTGTTTTACAATAAACTTTTTCCTACAAATGATTGTAGTTATGTAACTGTTTATACAAACTTTTTTATAAACCATTATTGTTTTCGATTTTTACCTTACATCTCATCAACATCTAAACATCATTGTGAACATCAAAGAGTCACAAATTTTATTTTCGAATCCTATTGCATTATGATATTATATATTTGAAAGGAAAATGAAAGGAAAAAACTTTTTTCCTTTCATTTTAAAGTTAATAAGTTGTTGCATATAGCAATAAAATTAACTCAATAATTCAAGCAATGAATAGTTCATGCAATTAATAATTTTTGCTATCAATAATACATGCAATCAATAATGGTTGTATCATCAACTTTGCAGTTATAACTCTTTTTAAAAAAAAAATAATAGCATTTTTTTAAAATTATCAAAAGTTGTTAAATCATGTTTAGTAAACTTAAGTAAAAAAGTTGTTTTAAGATCCCAGCTTTAGGGGTCATCCATAAATTACGTCACTCTTTCGGAAAGGAGGGGGGGTGTTAGTGGTTTTGTGACGACTCATACAAAACTTGTCACTAAAGTGTTATAATGTTGTGATGAGGGAGGGGAGGGGGTCTAAAATGATCAAAAATTGCATGATGTAATTTGTGGACAACCCCATAAGTTTTTTCAAAATCCAAATTTCTTATTTCTAACTTTTAAAATTAAATTGGTTAAAGTTGTACCAAAATATTTAAAAGTAAAATGAGGTTTCGATTAATATTCTATGGTTTTAAATTCTAAACTTTTTCTTTGCTTTTAAAAGCAAAGAAAAAAAAAAAAAAAAACTTGTATTATATTTATTTATATTGCAATTTTATATGCGTTATATGGTTCTGGTGAAAAGATCATAATGATCTTTCTCCAGATTCCAAGTTTATATTACACAACATGTAACCAATGCAAACTGAAATATAAAAAAAAGTAACAAAAGAATGAGTTTAAAGTTTTGATAGTAATTTTTAGCAGAAAAAAATGTTTCAGTTACCAAATTTCTTATTGTTAAGAATTTGCAATCAATATTAGACCAAATTAGAAATTGTCATCACTGTATTGAAAACCATGGAGGAGAACTGTTATGCACACAATGTGTTATGTTGCAAATGAGGAGAAGGTTCTGACAGAGAAGAGAAAATTATATTTTATTGTCATACTTTATTGTTTTTTCCTACCATTGATTCCAATTTATCATTGATTTCTCACAAATGCTGAAAGAGAACTAAATGTTCTAAATGCATAATATATATGATTTCCATGAAAATAGTATAACAAAAACATCACAAGAAAGCATCACAAATCTCACACCTGAATTAAAACTTGTCTTATGAATTTTTTTTCTGAGCAAACTGCTTACTTCTTAACAATCTTTGCTGCAGAAAGTGAACAATAATGTATTTTTCATTAAAAATCTATCAAAAAAGTATTTAGTTTTTAATATACAATCAAAATAACCTTTTGCTTTTTTTTTCTTCATGTAATCAGACAAGTTTTTTTAGCCTAATGTTTTTAAATAGAATATTTAATCTGAATGAGTTTTGTAAAAAAAAAAAATAATTATCTAATCAAATATACCAACTAATGATAAGCAGACATTTCAAAAAGCATTTGACACTTTTTGAATTAAAAGATAAATATCAAAAATATGTGTTTATTGTATAGAAAAAGAACTGTTAAAATAGATAGAAGCATATTTATCAAATAGAGGAAACATGTTATAACTATTCTATTTGATAAATATGCGATACAAAATCAGATTAGTGGGCGGGGTTTTCCGATAAGGTTCTGTACTTGGGCTTGTTATATATCAAGGATTTACCTTTTAAAATTAATACTAAATTAAAACTTTATGCAGATGATAATAAAATTATTGCTGTAGTTAACAACTAAGTAGACTCAAAATTCTTGCAAGATGATATTGATAATCTAATTGAATGGTCTGACAAATGGATATTAACATCACAAAATGTAAATTTATGCATAATTTCAGCATAATTTCCAGATGCAAACATTAAAGGTCATAAAGCAAGTTTTATATCATAACTTACAAAATTTTTCTGACAAACCGAGTTAAAAACAGTGAAATAAACTACCTAAAGAAATTATTTTCACAAAAACTGTAAAAATCTTCAAGAACAGATTTAATCAAAGAAACTCTTATCAGTAAACTTATATAGATTTAAGGTGGCCTTGGCTCTCAATAAGCATGATAAATAAATTTTAAAAAATTATAAAAATGATTAAAATTAAATTATAAATATCTGGCACAATTTTAAGTCTTATACAAAGAATTCAATACTTTCTTATACATAGACATTATTAACAATTTTATAGACATCAAAACTAATCTCATATACTGTTTTTTTATGCATTAAGTACAAACAGAACAATTTTCTTTTAGAAATGGAAATGCTATCAGAAGCAAGGGCAAGGTTAGCAAACACACAAGGTAAAAAAGCTAAAAGAAAAGCTAGGGAAAAACAGCTTGAAGAAGCTCGTAGATTAGCCTCTTTACAAAAGCGCAGAGAGCTTAGAGCTGCCGGCATAGAGTAAGTATATATATATTATTTTTATTGTAAACCTTCTGAATTTTTAGTTCAAAATAAAGTTCAAAAAAATTATGTAAAGTATTTTTATTTCATTCAGAATAAGAAAATATTTTCCATTGTTTGTAAACTCATTAAAGTTTATTTACTGCATTTGTTGGTGTTTATTATATTTATTATATTTGTTGTTGTTTATTATATATTAATACATTTGTTAGTGTTTATTATATATTAATACATTTGTTAGTGTTTATTATATATTTACTATATTTGTTGGTGTTAAACTTATTTTTATTATTGGTTTTTAGTAATTTAAAATTTGAAGTTTAAGATCACTAGTAAGTTATCTAAAATTTTAAAACTAAAATTTTGCTAAAATCAAAATATACTGGATAAAAGTGAAGAGACCAAAGTTTTAGGTGAAACATTGATACCAAAGCTCTAGTAAAAGAAATTAACAAAATAATTTTAATTAAATAAACTGAAACATCTAAAATAATTTTTATTTATATTTATAATTTAATATTGAAAGTTAACAAATAGATACTTTTCTCTGCCAAACAAAACTATGAATGCATGTTTAGAAAACAACTTTGACATTACACTGAAATAGTCTCCTGCTGGGGGCTTCAGTACTATCTTATAGTCAACTATCTTATAGTCTAGTGCCGCTACATCGGCTGAGGGTTTGACATGGGAAAGCAATCTTTTCTTTCATTATTCTTATTTTTTTCTTCTGTAAATGTTGTATGCTATAAAATTAGGAAAAACAAGTATTAATTTGTTATCTATATACACTATAATAGATATATATTTGTGTGTGTGTATAAGATATATATATATATATATATATATATATATATATATATATATATATATATATATATATATATATATATATATGTTGTTTTCTTTTTAATTTTAGAATTCAGAGATTTCGACGAAGAAAGCGAGCAGTAGACTACAACGCTGAAATTCCCTTTGAAAGAAAACCAGCACTAGGTCTTATTTTTAACACTCTTTTAACTGTTTTATTTGTGTTTAATTATGCCTAATTATGCTTAACTAACTTTTTTTTCTTCTGCAAAGGTTTTTATGATACCAGTAATGAAGATGTCAAAGCTTTAGAACCTAATTATAAAAAATTGCGACAAGAACATTTAGATGAAAAACGGCGTGATATTCAAGAGGAGGTAATAGAAAAATGATCTTATTAGTTTTTCACTTTTTTTGTAATCATTTAAATATTTTTCACTTTCTTTTTCATTTAAATATTTAAAAAATATGATTAGCGTGAAAGAAGAAAAGATAAAGAAAAACAAAAGAAAAGAAAAGAGACTGATCTTCCTGGTGCAATATCATCAATAAATAAGTATATTTGTAAATTTTAATTATTTATTATATAACATTTGATAGTATATATTATTATAGTAAGTATTTTTTTAAATAATTTATTATTTAAAGTAATTACTTATAATTATAACTTAATATTTGTCATTATATATTATTATGCTAATAAAAGTTATACAAATTATACTAAACTGTAAAAAGTAAAAAAAGGAACATGTTGGTAATTTGTTGGAACATTTTTAAATACTATATTTGATTTTAGAATGATGAATCAAGATGGTTCAAAAAGAAGAAGTAAACTAGTTCTTCCATCTCCTCAAATAACCGATGCTGAGCTTGAGGAAGTAATAAATTATAAATTTTATATATATATATATATATATATATATATATATATATATATATATATATATATATATATATATATATATATATATATACATGGGTATATATATGTCAAAAAAAAAATGACATATATATATATATCAAAAAAAAAGTCATGTCTGAAAAAAAAAAAGAGCTCTAGCTTATCATCTGCCCAGACCATGATTTAGTATTAAGAATTTTTTTTTTTTTCTTTGAAAGGGTCCCTCCTGGGGGTAAAAGAGGCAAATTTTATAGCGTTTTGTACCATTTTAAAAACAGTTAGGAGGAAGTCCTAAAATTTAAATTTTAAATTTTTTTTTAATATTTCTGTTTCTAAAGACCTATTTAATCTAAATAAAATGGACTCTATCCTTTTAAAAAAAAAAAAAAATTAAAAATTGTTTTGAAAAACCTTAAATTTAAGGTTTTTTGGATTTTATAAAACCCATAAACATTAAAAAAAAAATTCTTGAGTAGGTTTTTTTTTGGATTAGATTTTTATGCAGTACTATATTAAATTCAATTGTATTGAGCTGCAGGGTTAATTCTAGGAAATATAAAAAAGGGAGGGCCAAGGTAGGGAATGAAATAAAATGAAATGAAATAGTCAAAACTAAAAAAACGAAAACAAATTTTTTTTCTCAAACTAATAAGAAATTAAAAATTTATAAAATTACAAGAAAATTCAAATCAAAAGTAAAATTTGTTTAAAATTGAAATCCCAGTAAATAAATGATCATCTCTATTTAAGTTATCTAATTAAAACAAAGATTTTTAAAATTTTTAAGTTTGAGCTGGGTAGCAATAAGCTTTTTTTGTAATTTTTTTTCTTTTTTGCAAAAAAAACTGTATAGATTTTGATAGGCAAAAAAAGGGAGTTAATATATTTTTTTTATGTGCTATAGTGCTAGCACATAAAAAAATTATGTGCTATAGCATTCTCACACCTCCTTAAAAACCTTAAGTATCCTTAAAAAGTAAAAACCTCCTTAAATGTCCTTAAATAACCTTAAAAAAAGTTAAAATTTGACTGCTCTCCTTAATTTCTCCTTATTTTTTTTTTATTCATCTAGAAAAATTTTTTAAAGTGATGTAATGAATTATACTTGTTAATAAATCTCCTTAAATATTAGAAAAATATCTCCTAAATCTCCTTAAAATCCTTAATTTTAGCCTTAGTTTTAATAGTGGGAACCCTGTATAATATAAATGTTTATATATATATATATATATATATATATATATATATATATATATATATATATATATATATATATATATATATATATATATATATATATATATATATATATATATATATATATATATGCACTACTTTTGAAAAGTTTTTGTAGTTAAGTGCACCACTTTTGAAAAGTTTTTGTAGTTACCCAGCTCTAATAGCAAAATTGATTTTTTCAAACTATTTGGTTTTTTCTTGTTAGTTGGGTTATCTTCAACTTTCAAAATAAGTTTTGAATTAAGCTTTTTTATGTGTTACTTTTTTAATATTTGTGGAAGTCATTTTTTATACCGATTTTTTTCTCCATTAAAAGTGTTTCTACACGAGAGCTATATCAATTTTTAATGTTTAATTTTTTATGAAAAGAAACCATCTGTTGTTTATATCATGCAAAAAAAAATTTTAATTACTTTAATATTTAGGAAGGTGTTAATTAAAAATAGTTTAAGTATCAAGTTTTTACTTTGCACTAGTTAAGAGAATAGTAAAAAGTAACCTCAGACTATTATTTTTTTACATTTAATACTTTAAAATGGTACTAACAGATGCAAATAATTTTTAAGGATGGTAAGGCATTACAAAAAAAAGTTAGAAGTTTGTTCTTACAAAAATTATTAAAAAAAACAACACTGCAAATATGTTTAGGTTTAATAAAAAAAGAACACTCAGTCAACGTATAGCTTCATATCAGTTTAACATACCAAGAAAAACAATAACTAATAAGTTAAATGACCTTTGAAAAAAAAAGAACTTTTTTACAAATGGGATAGGATAGTAGGAGGAATAAGCCCCCCTAAATGTTTGAGAAAATGAGGAATATTTTGAGTGCCAGAGGTGTTTGATGATGGGAAATATGAGTAAATGTTAACATACAGTATTGAAGTTTATAAGGTGGAAGTTTGTTTGATTTTTTTGTTTCGTTTTTTTGTTTATTTATTTAAAAGAAAGTATTTTACTTATTTAAAGAAGTGTTTTGTGAAATTCTTGAACTAAACCTTATACTTAAATCAACTTTCTGGGTAAAATTTATGTTTTTAGTTTTAAAACCATTTTTTAAGCTACATAAAGTATTGTACTTATTTAAAATAGTTTTTTGTGAAATTCTCTATTACCTAAAATTACCTTTTTGGGCGAGATTTTTTTTGTTTTTATCATTAAAAACATATTTTTTATTTGTGGTGCAAAGTAACTCTCTCATTGGGGCAACTTTGTACCAAATTTAAAAATTCAATCAAAACATATTAAATTTAAAAAAAAAAAATTTTCTTTATAGACTAGTTATAACAACATAATAGAACTTGAAAAAACCAATTTAATTCATTAAGAAAATTTTTTATTATGCCTAAATTTAGCTGCAGTAAAATAACCAATGAAAATGGAGTAAAGTAGACCCGGTTGAATGTACTCAAATGAAGTGAAATTATATAAAAAGTTTAAAAAAATAATACTTATTTTGGAAAAATTTTAACTTATTTATCAAAATTATCATAAAAAAACAAAAAAAAAACATTTTTTTCATTTTTTGTTAAAAAAAGTAATTTTTTATGTAATAAAACCAAATAAAACAATATATATATATATATATATATATATATATATATATATATATATATATATATATATATATATATATATATATATACAGGCTTCGGCAGGAATGACGGGCTATAGCCCGTGTCCGTCTCCGCACCTGTCTAAGTCAGTTTAGACGGGCAAAATAAAGCCCGTCTGAAACATAAGTTTTGTGTAAAAAAAAAGATGAATATTTTGATGTTTTTTTATTAAGATACTCTTTTAAAACTTCTCTCATGACATAATTTTAATATGGATAGCAAACTCCAACTTATAATTGTTTATATTTAAATATAAAAATTAAACAATTTAATCATTATTGTATAACATGATGTAGAAAATAATATAACTAAATCTTACAGTTTTTTAAACGACGATAACTGTTTGATATAATACCAAACAGTTACCATATTATGTTCAAAATTTAATAACTATTGTATTAAATAGGGAAATATACACATGTGATGCACAAGAAGTATCATGTTGTTTTGGTTTTTCAATGTTTATAATAATAACGATAATAAACTAATTATCCATGTATTTCGCTTTTTTTCCGATAAACTAGTTTTGTCTTACTTTAAAGACATTTAAAGTGATATTTCCGCGTTAACTTCCGCGTTAACTTCACGTTTTTTTCTTAAAGAGACGGCAGTTTATTTAATATGCAATTATATAACTCGTTATTGAAAATGAAATATCTCATTAAAAATCAACAAACGTCTAATCAATTTTTGTAGATAATATAAATAGTGTTGCTTTATAGTTATGAAGTTATTCAAGTTATCCAGTCATTCAAGTTTTTTCAAGTTATATTTACAATACCAGTAAAAAAAAAAAAAAAAAAAAAAAAAATTATTACAATACCAGTTCTTCAAGTTATTCAAGTTTTTCAGTAAAGATAGTAATAGCATCATCTGGTAGAAGAGTTAC